GGGGCCATTAAAAATATTCCAGAAGCTTCTGTAATGGGCAATCAGGGTAATGATCAGCACCCGGGTTCTTCTCTTCTCTTCTCTTCTCTCTCTATCTACTCCTTTTCTGTTCTCTTCTCTTCTCATTCTCTCTCTATCTACTTTTTTTTTTTTTTTTTTTTTTTTTTTTTTTTTTTTTTTTTTTTAAATTTGGTTCTCTCATTTCACTCTTTTTTTCTCTGATTTCAGAATTCCTCTCTTCACTTCCTTCCCTTCCTTCTCTGTGTGTCTGTGTGTGTGTTGTGTGTGTGTGTGTGTGTGTGGTGTGTGTGTGTGTGTGTGTGTGTGTGTGTGTGTGTGTGTGTGTGTGTGTGTGTGTGTGTGTGTGTGTGTGTGTGTGTGGTGTCTGTCTGTCCGTCTGTCTGTCTGTCTCTCTCTCTTCCTTGTTAAGACCAAAAGTTATTTCATATCCGGACTGAGCAAAGGGAGGAATGGAAAGACAGAATAAAGGAGAGACAGATAAATAGATGAAAAAAATGAAGCAAAGCAATCCCAGTCTTAAAAACAAACACAAACAAAAATGTAAGATAAAAAGACAAATAACAAAAACAAATCTCTCTCTCTCTCTCCCTTTCCCTCTCTCTCTCTCTCTCCTCTTCTCTCTCTCTCTCTCTCTCTCTCTCTCTCTCTCTCTTCTCTCTCTCTCTCTCTCTCTCTCTCTCTCTCTTCTCTCCTCTTTCTCATACCAAATTTCATTACTATTTTTTTTTTTTTTTTTTTTTTTTTTTTTTTTTTTTTTTTTTTTTTTACATAACAAAACAACAACCACAACGGGGAGTACTGGCATTTTTTTTACGTGTTGCGCCGACATGCACGAAAGCGGTAATAACAATTGCGTGATTCACTCGCTAATCTGCAATTTGCAATATTGCAGTCCCTGGAAAAGGCCTCTAAATAATGCTCTTTCCTCGAATTCCATATTTGATAACCTTTCCTCATTTACAAAAAAACAAATAAGAAAAAAGGGGGAAAAGAAGAAAAAAAAATAAAAAATGGGAGCCAAAAAAAAAAAAAAAAAAAAAAAAAAAAAAAAAAAAAACTCTGGATTTTCTTTTACTTTGGATAGGAATTTGAGTACGGTGATATAGGCCTATTTATAAGGGTAATTTCCACTTTAATGTACCATAAATTTTGGAAACGATATTTTGAGGGCAATTTGGGTTTTGCTTGTTACACATATTATCCTTAATAAATACATATAATAAAATCTTTCGGTATACGGTTTTCATATAAGCCAAAAGTACCATCTGTATAATAACCATTATGATAAAAAAAAATCTTTACATATCGTAATTAATACACAAGTAATTAAAATGTTTATAGTTAGTTATTTCATGCTTTATATTCTGAAAAAAGCATATATATTAAGGAAAAAATAACCAAAATATCCCTGAACAAACAATTTACACACAATATAAATGATCTTAATGATAAATTTAACATCTCATTAACATAGCAAATGTCAGCGATTATATTTCAGATTAAATCACTCATTTTATTTAATAGACTTTAGATCATGACAATCAGTTTTTGTGGCATTTCATGACAGGATACACGCATGACAGTGTGAAAGGGCTATCAAATTTATTAAGAATGTATGATTTAATCTTTAATGTCCTTTTACTGATATAATTATATTTATAGTTATATTAATATTTTTAAATGCATCAATAACACATGGTTATAAATCAATCTATTTTAAGTACACAAAAGGCTCTTAATTTAAATAGAATGACATGGATTTATTAATTCAGTTATTAATTCAAATTGATATATCACTTTAAAGGGAATGGAAAAGATAAAGCAAAAAATAGAGTTATTAATTCCTATTGTTCCATGCCTTTTAAAGGGAACAGAAGAGAGAACAGATAAAGATAAAAGACAAGAAAATGCCCTAGTTCGAGCAGTTATCAATTCCTCTTATTCCATGCCTTTTAAAGGGAACAGAAGAGAGAACAGATAAAGATAAAAGATAAAAAAATGCCTTAGTTCGAGCAGAGTTACCAGTTGCTCTTATTCCATGCCTTTTAAAGGGAACAGAAAGAAAAGGAGAGGACGCGCCCCCGTTCGAGCGGTGGGCGTGGCAACACTCACCTTCCGTGGACTCTGCGTGGACGAGCTGTCTGGTGCTCCCGGAGGAGGATTGGTGCCGCGAGTGCTGGCCGTGGTGGGCGTGGTTGGCCCCGTGGCTGTGGTAGGCGTGGTTGTGGGAAGGGTGCTGGCTGTGGTCCGAGGCGTGCTGGTGGGTGTGGTTGGGGTGCGTCTGGCCGTCGTGCCCCGGGTAGTGCTGCGGGGGCATGGGCGGGCGCGGGAGGGGCGGCGCCAAGCGGCCGTGGGTGTGCGGGTGGTGCTGGTCATCGCGGGCGTAGTAGGCGTCGCGGTCGTGCCACTGGCCGGGGCCGCCGTTGTGGCCGCCCCATTGGCTCATCGCGTCGTCCGTCTGGTTCTCTCGTCTTGGTGCCCCTTGCGCGCCTTCTCCGACGCTCGCTTCTCGCCGCTCTTCCGACTCAGAGAATCGTACTTCCGCTCATCCTTCCCGCCGTACTGGCTGCTGTCGGACGCGCCTCCGGTGCTGAAGGAGACCTGCTGGGTGCTGCTGCTGCTGTGCCTGCTGCTGGCGCTGCCTCCCGCGTCGGGCACCTGCAGGCTCGACTTGCTGGAGCCCCTTCCGTCGGGCGGCTTGGTGAGGTCGTCGGCCAAGGAGAGCTCGGTCTGGCTGCCCTTGGTGCTGGTGAGCACGTGCGACGCCCTCGGCAGCGACGAGCTCCCGCGCTTCTCGAAGGCGTCCGAGCCCGAGAGGTCGGCCTTGTCGTCGGCGCCGTGGCTCCCGAAGGCCGCGAGGGTTGCTTGCGGCGCCGCCTCGTGTAGTTGGAGGCGGGTGAGGCTAACATGCGACTCTCCGCCGTACGGGGTCGGTGACGGGTACGACTTGCGCGTGCCGTAGATCTCGCTCGAGCTGAGGTAGTCCTTGCTGGTGCTGCGCTTCAAGTTGTCGTGGCTCCGCGAGGAGTACTCGGGCACGGACCGCGAGCTGTAGCCGTTGCTGATGCCGCCGTGGTCAAAGCTCTTGGGCTCCCTGTCGTCGTAGTCCTCCGCCGCCGACGGGTAGCTCCTGAGGCTCCGGTAGCCGTTCCCGTAGTCCCCCCTGGAGCTGCTGGTGTAGCTCCGCCGCTGGGAAGATCTGCCGCTTCCGTGAAGGTTCCGCTCGCTGCTGCGCTTGTCGACGGTCCTGTAGAGCGGCTCGACGGACGCGTTTCGCGACGGCCGCTGGTAGTCCTGGTGCCTGCCGGAGTCCCTGGTGTAGGTGCCCCCCTGGGAGCGCCTCTGACTCTCTCCCAAGTGGTTGCGGAGCCCTCCCGACGTAGATCCACTGAGCGCAGGACGGGCGGGGGACGAGTGGCCGCGAGACTGTGTGTACTGGACCACTGGCCGGTCGAGAGCCGGGAAGTGTTGCGCCCGTTGAAGCCATACACGTTGTCTTCCCCCCCTCCTCCCCCATGTCGCCCCCTCATGGTACACCCCACCCCGGCACGTCACTCACACTGTAGATACCCCCGTCAGCTGGCCGGGGTCCTCGTAGATGCCCCAGTCTGTCCGCATCCTATAATCCTTGGCGGGCGTTCTCTCGGCATAGGGGGGCTTTCCGGGTCCCTGTAGCGCACCACGCCTCGCATTCACGCAGCGCCTCCAGCCCCCCCCTCCAACGCCCCTCCGACGACGCCCCTGCGACGCGAACCCCCGCTCCCGCTCTCCCGACGAAGGCGTCACTCACTCACCGCCCCATCTCGCGTGGCCTCGCCCAAGCACGGCTGGTACAAGCGATTAGCAACCTGGAACGAAGATGTGCTCGGTCAAATAAGAGTCAAATAAGGGTCAAGTAAGGGGTCAAGTAAGGGTCAAATAAGGGTCAAATGACGGTGGTTTAACGAGTGCACTGCTGTTTGTATGGAGAGAGAGAGAGAGAGAGAGAGAGAGAGAGAGAGAGAGAGAGAGAGAGAGAGAGAGGAGAGAGAAGAGAGAGAGAGAGAGAGAGAGAAAGAGAGAAAGAGGGAAGGAGGGAGGGAGGGAGGGAGGGAGGGAGGGAGGGAGGGAGGGAGAGAGAGAGAGAGAGAGAGAGAGAGAGAGAGAGAGAGAGAGAGAGAGAGAGAGAGAGAGAGAGAGAGAGAGAGATATTAATAAAGAGCAAGTAGGAGAGAATAAAGTTTGAAAACAGAATGTGACAAGCCCAGCGAGATTTTTTTTTTTTTTGTAATAAATGTTTATCGATTTTCAGATGTACTACATGTACTGATTTTTATATTTTTATATTTAACTGTTGGTGTTATGAGAACAGATGTTTCTTATCATATATGTTGTGCATGTTTTCTTGATGTTGCTTTTCAGAGAGAGGAGAAGAGAGAGAGAGAGAGAGAGAGAGAGAGAGAGAGAGAGAGAGAGAGAGAGAGAGAGAAGAGAGAGAGAGAGAGAGAGAGAAAGAGAGAAGAGAAGAAGAAGAAGACAGAAGACAGAAGACAGAAAAGAAGACAGAAAGAGAAGGCAGAAGACAGAAGAGAAGACAAACAGAAGAAGAGAAAGAGAAAAAGAGTGAAAGAGAGAGAGAGAAGAGAAGAGAAGAGAAGAGAAGAAAGAGAAAGAGAGAAACAATATTGGATATTCTTGGAGGTGATAATGAAGACATAACTGAGTATTGCGTTGGTAAATGCTTACATAGATTATCTGTAATATAACGGTCATATGTACACACATTTAAAACAATAATGACATAAACTTACATACGTACAAACAGACATTAAGAACCCAGACAGACATAAATCCAACACAAACATACAGACATAAACAAACAAATAAGACATGAATATCCAACCACAAACACATACAGAAACAAACAAACAAAACAAGGAACAAAATAAACAAAAACAACACAACGGAAAGTGGAACAAACAAACAAACAATTTTCCTTCTCTCTCCTTCACCTCTCTCTCTCTTTCACTTTTAATTAATCTCAATTTCTTCTCTCCCCTTTCCTTTTATTCCCCAAAACCAACAGAAAATCTTTTTTTTTCCAGAAGCTCTCGCGAACACTTGAAATATATCTCCCTTCCTATGAAGATCTGTTTCGCTCCCGATTTCATCACCAATTCGATTATATTCCTTATTTCCTCTAATTCACCGGATAGGAGAGGATTGGGCGGATGAATGGGGAATGGATAGATTGGTTGCCGATTCGGGTGGAGGGAGGAAGTGTGGATGAATATTCCGATGGGTCGAGTGGCGGGTTAATTGAATGCTGGGGCTGGGGGGGGGGGAGAGGGGGAAGGGGTGGGGGGGGGAGTGGAGGGTGAGGAGAGGGGTTGGGGGGGGTTGGGGTTGGGGAGAGGGGCTGAGGGGTGGGGGAGAGGGGGAGAGGGGGTGGGGGTGGGTGAGAGGGGCTGGGGGTGGGGGAGAGGGTCTGGGGTGTGAGGGAGAGGGGTTGGGGGTGGGAGAGAAGGGTGGGGGTGGGGGGAGGGGCTGGGGGGTGGGGGGAGGGGGGGTGGGGGAGAGGGGTGGGGTGGGGAGAGGGGGCTGGGGGGTGGGGTTAGCGATGCAGACGTGGAAAGGTGGATATGCATTTTTATTTTATTCATTTTATCTGTTTTCTGTTAAAGTTTTGCTTGGGAGGGTGCGTTCCAAATGTGTAACATCTCTTTTTCACACGCACACACAATAAAACAAACACACCACTACAGTGTAAATAATAAATATATACTATATGTATATATATATATAATATAATATATATACATTATATATTATATATAGCATATAATATAACATTGTGTGTGTGTGTGTGTGTGTGTGTGTGTATGTGTGTGTGTTATGTGTGTGTTTGTGTTATATATACATACATTTCAAACAACCACAACAATTGTATTCCAACACACACAACACACACACACAACACACACACAACACACACACACACACACACACACACACACACACACACAAACACAACACAGAAAGATCTCTTCACCCCTCGCTGCACGCAGAGCAATCCTCCAACACAGCAACACACACACACACATTCCCACATTTGCATACCGGCAGCAACCGGAGCTTCCCCTTGGAGAGATCAGAGAGCAGGGGGCCTCGAGCGATGTATAAAGGGGTACAGCATCTTTAATCAGAACCTCATACGGGATTCAATATTTCTCGTGGTATACTCACACGCCCCGCTCCGCTCCGTAAGCCAACCGCCATTTACGCGCTAATGAACAAACACGAGTATGTTCGGCGGGTATATTTCGTGTGCTAAATATGCTCCACTTCCCATCATCCTGTGCGTGATGTAAGATGTAAAAAAAAGAGGTTTCTTTGGATAACACAAGAGGAGGTAGAAAAAGTTCTGTGAAGTGTGATGGACCGAGAGTTTGTTTACATCTTTGGGTCGGTTAGATTAGCAAGCGAGGCGGGGATTGAATGGATCCAGAAAAAGGGGTTTCAATTCTGGCTGAAGTGAATCCTTTACTTGAAAAGTTCATTCATTGCTGTTTATTTGATCTCGATGTAATTCCGTCTTCGTTATTATCACATTTTTATCATTATTGTCATTGTTATCATGCATATTATATTTGCTATTGTTATTGTCTTTATTTTTTATAACTGCCTTACCATTTCTCAAATAATTATCTTACTTTTTTATCATAATCATTATCATCACCATTATCATTTACATTACTATCACCACACAGAATTCTTATCCTTCTCATCTTTATCATTACTATCACCCTGAACCATAATCTTAATCATCATCATCTCTGTCATTATCATCTTTATCACTATTATTCGTGCACAACAAAGAAATCGGATTACGAGGAAATAATTTTATTCAGAAATAGCTGAAAGAAATACGGAGGTCGGAATTCTGCAATTTAATGGTCTCTTGATCTAAAAATATCGTAACTTGAGAGAGGAGAGAGAGAGAGAGAGAGAGAGAGAGAGAGAGAGAGAGAGAGAGAAGAGAGAGAGAGAGAGAGAGAAAGAGAGGAGAGGAGAGGAGGGGAGGGAGTGAAAGAGAGGAAGGAAGAGAGGGAGATGATGGTGCTAGGAAAGAGAGAGAGAGAGAGATAAAGAGAGAGAGAGAAAGAGAGAGAGAGAGAGAGAGAGAGAGAAGAGAGAAGAGAAGAGAGTAGAGAGAAGAAGAGAGAGAGAGAGAGAGAGAGAGAGAAGAGAGAGAAGAGATGAGAGAGAGAGAGAGAGAGAGGAGAGAGAGAGAGAGAAGAGAGAAGAGAGAGAGAGAGAGAGAGAGAAGAAGAGAGGAGAGAGAGAGAGAGAGAGAGGAGGGGAGGAGGGAGTGGAAGAGAGGGAAGGGATAGTAGAGGGAGATGATGGGCGGGAAGAAAGAGAGAGAAGAGAGAGAGAGAGAGAAGAGAGAGAGAGAGAGAGAGA